CTGTCAACCCATCACCATCAAGCCTGTTAAACTATGTCCTGAAGTGCAATATATACACATTCTTTGAACACCTTCAGGGATGGTGACACCACCATTTGGCTGGACAGCCTGTTCCAATGCCTGACCGCTCTTTCAGTTGAGAAATTTTTCCTAATATCTAATCTAAACCTCCCCTGATGCACCCTGAGGCTGTTTACTCTCATTCTATTTCTAGAAAACTGGGAGAAGAGACCAACACACACCTCAGGACAACTGCCTTTTAGGTAGTTGTGGAGAGTGGTCAGGTCTCCCCTCAGCCTTCTCTTCTCCAGACTAAAAAATCCCAGTTCCCTCATAAGATTTGTTCTCCAGACGCCTCACCAGACTCATTGCCCTTCTCTGGACACACTCCAGCAACTCAATGTCCTTCCTGTAGTGAGGGCCCCAAAACTCAGCACAGTGTTTGAGGTGGTGCCTTACCAGTGCCAAGTACAGGGGCACGATCACCTCCCTGCTTCTGCTGGCCACACTATTTCTGACACAAACCAGGATGCCATTGGCCTTTTTGGCCACCTGGGCACACTGCTGGCTCTTGTTCAGCCAAGACTCTTCCCCAAGACTGTAGCATTGCATGGGGTTGTTTTGACCGAAGTGCAGGACCCGGCACTTGGCCTTGTTGAACCTCATACAATTGCCCTTGGTCCATCGATTCAGTCTGTCCAGATCCCTCTGCAGAGCCTTCCTACCCTTCAGCAGATCGACACTACCTCCAAGCTTGGTGTCTTCTGCAAACTTACTGAGGGAGCACTCAATCCCCTCATCCAGATCATTGATAAAGATGTTAAACAAGACTGGACCCAAAACAGCCCTGAGGAACACCACTTGTGACTGCCATTGTACTTCTCGGTGCTCTCAGATCTCCGCTCCTGTCGATGCCCGTTGCTGCCCGCGCCCCGTCCCCGGAGGCAGCGCTGCCAGGAGACCCCGTAAGCTCCCTGCGTCTCCATCCCAGGAGCCGGGGCAGGCCCTCAGCCTCTTGTTTTCCATACTGTATCTGCAAAATGGGGATAAAAGCATCTTCCCAGTAGGCTTCATAATTGCCTATAAATCACTTTAATGCCCTGGGCTGAGAGGTGCTAAGTGGAAATCACGTAATTATTTCAAGCCAAAGCATATTTCATCAAGTTAAAAGAAACTAATCCTCTCTTTGCTTCAAAAAGCCCACACTCTTATTGGAGAAGAGCCTAATCACCAGCTTCTCCCAGGAGAAAAGAGAAAGTGTACCCTGACAGCGGTGCGAGAGGCAAGTTACAAATGCCCACATCAATTAATGGCAGAGAACACATCATGTCCAGAGAAAACAGCGGTTGTTTACCTCGGATGAACTAGAGGAGCCCCGTGCTCACTGCCTGTGCCCTGCCAGGCAGCAGGGCCAGCACCAGCCCCCTCTCGCTCAGCCCCCCAGCTCCATGACAGCGATGGAGGGGACAGGTCTCAGCTCCCTCTGCTCCGTGCCAGCGCAGGGCTGTGCGGCAGCGCAACCGCTGTGACGGGGTGCATGTGCCCCTGGGGAGCTGCTGCCGCCCAGCAGCTGCCCACGCCACGTTAAATCCCTGTGCCCCAGCCCAGCTCCCCAGCTCCAGGC